ATCCCATGGGATGGGTGACCTGGAGCTATCATCCTCCTCCTCCTCTTCCTCCTCTTATTCCGACGAACCTTGACGCCGCTTCCCTCACTACAGCTTCGCTCACTGCTTTGACCGCTATTTCTTCTTCTCGTTGTCCTTCTTCTACTTTCTTTGTTCATCCGTGGCACGATTCACAGCCCTCACAACCGTGTGCTCTGGCAGCGGCGCGACAGAGTCCCAGAAGAATAACCCCACCAGCAGCTCAATGAAGCTCACATTCGGCCGTATCATGGGATGCCCCAGGATCGGGAACATGGCATCGGCCTCCCCCATGGCCTCCTTGATGCGCTGCGCGACCTCACTATCATGGCACAGCCCTTAGGCGAGCGTTGTCTCGACAAGCTGCGCGCCTGGCATCATCCCATACAGCGGGAGGACGTGCGCCATCAACGGCGCCACCATCCTCGCGTGATACCCCCCGATTACGTCGACCCCACGAAGGCTGTGGATCTTTAGGAATGTGATGGCCTCGAGGAGGTCGCGCATCCTCTTCTTCTCCTTGACGGGTGGCCCCCATGGCCATGACGGCAGTACCTCTTCGACCAGGCGCCCGGAGAAGACCGGTAAGGGAGCGGCAGGGTCGTTCTTCAGGTAGAACCAATGTGAGTGCCACCCCTTGTTAGATCTAGAGAGCTGGCAGGGCATGTACTCAGCCGCCCGCTACCCCCGGAGGTGGATGCCCACGCATCCCATCGGCACCGGGGTCTCTCGGCCTCTCTCCTTCTCCTTGATCAAGGAGATGGAGAAGAAATATCTCCACAGCTCGAAGTGGGGCTCGATCCCTAGGTACCCCTCGCACATCGTGATGAAGGACGCGATGTGCTAGATCCCATTGGGCTTCAAGTGTTATAGCTCGATCTGATAGTGGTGCAGCATACCTCGGAAGAATGGATGGGGAGGAACCACGAGTCCATGCTCATGGAAGGGCGCGAAGGAGACGACGTAGCCATCGAGCGACGCCGGTGCATCCTCATGCCCGAGCACAAGCCACTCCACCGCATCGGTCCTCCCATGGAGAAGACCATGCTTGATGAGGCCCTCCATGTGCGCATGGGTAACATCATAGCGGTACCATGAATCCATGGAGGATGGAGGCGGCTACGGAGAAGCAAAGGTGGCGGTGGAGAAGTGGAAGCTATAGATCTAGGGCTCCGATAGAGGATTAGCAAACACGATAGATCCTAATGGCAGCGGCGAGAGAAATAGAGAAGGTAAGGCTATGGTTTTAGTATGTAGAAACGTGAAGGGGGAGGCCGCTATTTAAAGGACGGAGCGGGTCAAGAAGGTGAACCATTCGCCTAGGTGCACGCGCCCGCTGCGCCGTGTCACGTCACCTCCCTCCAAAGATCATGCGCACGCTATCTCTGGCCACGCCCTCGAAGGACATGTCGAATGATGGTTTGCCCAGTCGATGGGCCAAGAACCGTCGCAGGTAAGGAGGGATACAGAGCTGAAAACTCTCCTACGGCCCATTCAGAACTAGAAGTTTGAAGGCTGGCCCACCGATGGATTCACAGGCGCACCATGGCACCCTTAGAGTGAGGGGTGGAAAGGGATGTACCCACTAGCGGCCAGTACCCTGGCGCACGAGCACCGCAGGCATCCCGGACCATGTTTGAGTCTTGGTCGATTCTTAGTCCATGGTTTTTCCTTGAAGAAAGGCAACAAGCCCTTGGGACCGGCCGAACGGACCCAAGAATTATATGGATTGGCCACCAAGAGTCTAGAGTCGGTCACCAGCTGACCCATGTTGGACCCCCATGAACGGGAAGCTGGACCCCACTCGGACTAGCCCATTAACAGCCCACTAAGCACCATGTTTCGTCCATCGAGGAAAAATATGGCACGGCTCAGCCCCTCCATTTTATAAAAAAATGCTTGAGGGATGACGATCACAAAGATGAGTCGACCCTCGACCGGACCCCTGCTATGCGCGGGGGCTCGAGGGAAGTTAGACTCACAAGGAGACCAAACACGCGGTCGCAGTACGATGGCAGACCGATCGGATCCTAGGGGTCTAGAATCAAGAAAAATCTTTCTAACCTCCCGAATCCTACGGTTACATGACCCCAAGAAGACCGATCGCGACAAAAGGGAATTAGCATCCTACCAGGACATGCCACGGGCTACAAAAAGAAGGCCAAGGCCCTTAGAGTCCTCCCATCCGAAAAAGCCTCCAAAGAAGTATTCCACTCCTCTACAGGCTCGGGGGCTACTATCGGGTATCGATATTAGGGATACCCAAAACAAGGAAGTTAGCGCCTACACTGACTTTCTTGAATGGCTTGAGACGTATTAAAAGGTCTCGCCCGACCCTAAGGCCGCGGGCTCTGTCTCGCCCGACCCCTTGGGTGTGGGCTTTGTCTCGCTCGACCCTAAGGACATGGGTCCCATCTCGCCCAAGGCCACGGACTCTAGCTCACCTGACCTTGAAGCCACGAGCTCTATCTCGCCCGACCTTGAGGCCACGGGCTCCATCTCGCCCGACCCCAAGGATGCGGTTTTTGTCTAATCCAAGGTCGTTGGATCCGTCTCGCCCAACCTCGAGGACGTGGGTTCTGTCTCATCCGACGGGAACCCATACCATCGCCAACCACTCCAGGTCCAAGCGTATGGGCCTGAGTCAAAACTCTGACGCTAGGGAAGAGGCTGGCACGCCTTGATGTAACCTATGGCCATGACGGGCCATACCTAGGGATTCACATCAAGAACTGTGTCGGGCGTGCCGATGCTGTTATGCCTAATCCTCGTATGGACGCTGATAGACGAGTCAGTTCACCACGACGTCTGTCGAGATAGAGTGGAATGCCATGATCGGTAGATGACGCCTGCGCATGGTGCCAGTGACGAACAGGGCCGCGATAAGAGCCGTCCCTGTTGACATCTACAGGATCGGCGGGACCTGCATGAAGGAGAAGAAGAACACGACAACCCTAGAAGCCTTCTCTCTCTCGTTCTTTTCCTTTTCTTCCTCTGTAATCCATGCTTTCCCTTGGCCTATAAAAGGAGAAGCAGGGCATCCCACGATAAGGAGGAAGACAAGAGCACGACACGAGCACACAGCTGAGCGGCAAGCGAGCTCTCAGCACCCGTTCACTCTTTCCACCGGAGACTTGGGATCCTCTCCCTCTCTCGCTTATTTATAACCCCTACTGTAAACCAAGTATCGATAACACGAGCAGCAGCGAACTGGACGTAGGGATGTTCCGCCCGAACCAGTATAAACCCTTGTGTCCTCCGAGCACACCATCCAAGCCAGATGCGTAAATACAAATTTACTCGTCCGTGGTCCGAAAACACAGACAACCGTCTCCTCCCCTGGCTTTTGCTTTGCCGGCACTCCATCGTGGCCCAAGCTATCGTTCCATTCTATAAAGTGAGCTGAGTGGGAGGCGGTGGAACCCTAAGACGAGCATCACAGAGACAGGCGTCTTCGTACTCGCCTCTCTCCACGACTCAAAGCTTTCCCTCTTCTCCATTTCCCACAGCCGCCACTGCTCCACCCTTCAGACGACACCATGAGGGAGTGCATCTCGATCCACATCGGCCAGGTCGGTATCTAGGTCAGAAACATATGCTGGGAGCTATACTGCCTCGAGCATGGCATTCAGGTAATGATCCGTCCATTTCCTCTACTGTTATAGCGCTGTTGACGTAGACTGTAATCGGTATGTGAGTTTCATCGCTGATGTGTGCTGGATTTTGTAGGACCGAATCGGTAGAGGAAATAGCATTTCAAATTGGTAGATCTGTACGGATCTGGCTGTATGTGATGGTGGTTGCCTAGATCCGCGTTTGCTAGGTCTGATCTGTAGATCTGCTGAAATGGTGTCTGATCGAGGTCGTAATTATTTGTTATCTGTAATTTTGTATAGAGTATTTGAATAGGGATTACTCGATATTGCACATTATTTTCCATGATCCAGAATAGTTATGTAGCATATTGTTTTTTATTTTTCCTATACGTGTGGTAGACCTGAATGCCATGAAAGTTTAAATGCACTGTCACTTTGGATCTGTAAATTTTCATAGGCCAAGTTCATGTTGCCTGTTAATACCCTTTATGTACAGATACATAGTATAGTATGTTTATTGTTAATTTGATGCACATTACATATATTTGTATTGTTATTAGATCTACAAAAAATGAATTCACATCAGCCATAGGCATCTTAATCCAATTGCCTTTTGCTGTTTAGATCTGTTAGAAATGGGATATAGACTGGCAAGTTGCTATATAGTCCTAGTTGTTATTAGCTTTATGCAGGGCTAAATGTTGTTCACATATCCGAAATGTTTGCAATCTGAGATTTAATCATGGTTCTCAAGGACATCTGAACTTTCATAGGCCAAGTTTGTATTGCCTGTTTATATGTTGAACCTTGATGTACATATGCAGAGTACAATATGTTAATTTGATGTACATCTATTCAAATTGTTATTAGATCTGCAAAAGATTAATGCACATCAGGCATAGGCACCTTAGCCCAATTGCCTTTAGCTGTTTAGATCTGTTAGAAATGGGATAGGGACGGGCATTCTGGCCTTGTTTAGTTCCGTGAAATTTGGGAGTTTGACTACTGTAGCACTTTTGTTTTTATTTGACAATTAGTGTTCAATCATGGACTAATTAGGCTCAAAACGTTCGTCTCGCGATTTCCCACCAAACTGTGCAATTATTTTTTTTTCCGTCTACATTTAATGCTCCATGCACGTATCGCAAGATTCAATGTGATGGCTACTGTAGCATTTTTTAGGAAAACTTTTTAGAACTAAACAAGGCCTCTATATCGTCTAGTACTAGTTTGAAACATGGTCCTTCATGCACCTGTTACCTTGAAGATTATGCATCTGTCTGGTGTAAGGTGGCATAATGTTAACACATATTACATTTGAGTTACACGATCTCCTTTTGTAATCTGCATAAATAACACTGCCATATTTGCATTCTATTCAGCCTGATGGCCAGATGCCTGGTGACAAGACTATTGGGGGAGGTGATGATGCTTTCAACACCTTTCTTCAGTGAGACTGGTGCTGGGAAGCACGTCCCCCATGCTGTGTTTGTTGACCTTGAGCCCACTGTCATCGATGAGGTGAGGACTGGCACCTACCGCCAGCTCTTCCACCCAGAGCAGCTCATCAGTGGCAAGGAGGATGCAGCCAACAACTTTGCCCGTGGTCACTACACCAGTAAGTAACATATCTGATGTTCAATTTACATTGCTCCTGGATATTCACTCTATAATGAACATCTTACTTAAACTTGATTTGTTTGTCTTGCAGTTGGCAAGGACATTGTTGACCTGTGCCTTGATCGCATCAGGAAGCTTGTAGATAACTGCACTGGTCTACAGGGCTTCCTTGTCTTAAATGTTGTTGGTGGAGGAACGGGATCTGGCCTTGGCTCCCTCCTCCTAGAGCGCCTGTCTGTTGATTACGGCAAGAAATCCAAGCTCGGGTTCACTGTGTACCCATCCCCCTAGGTCTCTACCTCGGTGGTTGAACCATACAACAATGTCCTGTCCACCCACTCCCTCGAGCACACTGATGTCGTTGAACTGCTCGACAACAAGGCCATCGACAACATCTGCCGCCGCTCCCTTGACATTTCATCTTTTGGAAATCCCTTGCGCATAAGGAAGGAAGTTTGAGCCAAGAAGGAGGAAGTTCATCTAGGAACTTCACTGGCCCGAGAATACCGGACCATTCGGTATTGCAGGGTCCTACTTCAACTTTGCTTTTCTGTACTTAACCTACTTTGGGTCACCTTGTCTTATACCTGTGATAGGTTTAATTTCTTGCAATCGTTCCCTACTAAACAAGACAGAGAGAAATAGATGTAACACATTTCATAACATTATCCACCCATCACCCATGGATAGTTAAAGCACAAATTTAACATTATTGCCTCTAAATAATTTCATTCTACTCTATCATAAGCCTTAGTGTTGTCTAGCTTCAAAGCATAGTGTGCATTAGCTTTTGAGTGATTTTTTGCGCATAAAATGTAAGCATTCATATGCCACCAGAACATTATGAGTAACGATTCTACCAGGAACTAAAGCTGATTGCTCTTTATAATGATATCCAGAAGAACCCTTTCAATCAGTTCACCAATGCCTTGGATATAATTTTGTATATCACATTTCAAAGGTTTATCGGTCAAAATTGGTTCAAGGATATTGGATTTTGGACCTTGGGAATTAGAATAGTGAACGTATCATGTTAATTCCAGCAGGTGTTTCATCTCCATTGAGAACCCTCGAGCACCATTCCGGTTAGATCATCACCACAAACATCCAGTTGTGTTGGAAAACAAGATCACCAACTATCATTATCATCCATACAAATCCTAGTTTTGTTGGAAAACAAGATCACCATCAAAATTGGCGCGTAGGGCCCAACATGAAAAGAGCACATGCGACTGTGAGTACCCTCTGCATAAGCCCATTCGGCCGTCGACCCAACCAAATCGACCGACATGCTCGCAAAAGGCTCCAAGAAGTGTGTATTTGGTTTGAGGACAAGAATGAATGGGATATAGCCATCCATGGATATAGGGATATAAATATCCATGTTGTCTGTTTAGTTGTATGATGAGACTAGCCATTTTTCTGTTTGGTTAGATGTATGAGAGTGGACGGGACGAGAAACTAATTATATTTATATTATTTAAAAATAACAACTAATTATATACTAAATAATTCTACACTAAAACTAATTTTGTCATGATAATCCCTAATTAAAAATAACAAATGTTAATTAGCACCATAATTTTTTTGCGAAAAAATTAGCACCATAATTATCCTAATTAGCATACAAAACATGTACTAATTAACATATTAACACTTATCAAAGTTAATCTTGACATCATAATTACTAAGCAATAATATAACATATTAATAATCCTTAATTATTTACTAATGACGTAGATTAGAAAACATGGATGAGCTCGCCAGGTAATTTTTTGGTGGTAGGGATATCCAGCATATGAGAGAATATTCCCCTATCAGGGATATCTATATCCAGCTTGTCCCTCAAACCAAACAACGCTTTGCCATGGACCGCCATCTTTCATCTAGGGATATCCATCGAACCGTACACACCCGAAGTCACACGAGAAATCCGCAGCGCATGGGGAGTGGTCCCATTTCAAAATTTCAAAATTCGAAAATGTATCACCGACGAAGCAGAAAATCAGCATATTCACTTGTTGATTTCAATCAGACATGATACAATATTCTTCTCTCACAGTAAACCAGCACCAACCAAATTTACCGGTTTAGCTGCGAACAGGGCGACGAACCAACCGGCCGTTGCACGGACGAGAACTCGAGAAGCCCGAACCGTCAAAACATTCGAAACTGCAGGGGCTCAAACGCAAAAATACCGTCCCCTCCTTTCGCCGGCACTCCATCGTGGCCCAGGCTGTCGTCCTGTTCTATAAAGCGAGCCGAGTGGGAAGAGCCGGAACCCTAGCCGAGCACCGCAGAGACAGGCGTCTTCGTACTCGCCTCTTTCCGCGACTCAAAGCTACCCCCCATTTCCCACAGCCGCCGCCGCTCCACCCTTCCGACGACACCATGAGGGAGTGCATCTCGATCCACATCGGCCAGGCCGGTATCCAGGTCGGAAACGCGTGCTGGGAGCTCTACTGCCTCGAGCATGGCATTCAGGTAACGATCCGTCCAATTCCTCTTCCGTTCTCCCACTCCCACTGCTGAGGTAGTTGTGTAATCGGTATGGGAGTTTCGTCGCTGATGTGTGCTGGATTTGGTGCGACTGAATCGGGGGAGGAAATGACATTTCAAATCGGTAGATCTGTAGGGATCTGGCTATATGCAATGGTGGCTGCCCAGATCCGCGTTTACTAGGTCTGATCCGTAGATCTGGTAAAATGGTGTATGATTGAGGATGCGATTGCTTTTTATCTAGAATTTTGGATGAACAAATTTGATTAAATTTTGGATGGAGAATTGCACATTATTTTCCACGATCCATTGGATCCAGAAGTTATGCAGCGTAATTGTTGTTGATTTTGCCTATACATTTGGTGGATCTGAGTGCCCTGAAACCGTTTAAAATGTTGTCAATTTGGATCTGTAAATTTTCATAGGCCAAGTTTGTATTACCTGTTTATATGTAGGCCCTTACGTACTGATGCAGAGTGTAGTATGTAAATTTGATGTACATCAATTTGTATTGTTAACAGCCTTAGGCAACTGAACCAAATTGCCTTTGGGATAGAGACTGACATGTTGTATTATGTAGTCCTAGTTGTTATTAGCTATCTGTAGGGCTTTGCTTATGTATTTGAAATGTTTGCAATCTGAGATTTAATCGTGGTTTGTAACATGGTCATTCAGGCACGAGTTTACCTTAAGATCGTGCATCTGCCTGGTGTACTAGTGTAGGTGGCATGCAATTTTACACTGACTGCATTTGAATCATATGGCCTCCTTTTGTAATTTGCATAAGTAAGGATGCTATGTTTGTATTCTATTCAGGCTGATGGCCAGATGCCTGGTGACAAGACCATTGGGGGAGGTGATGATGCTTTCAACACCTTCTTCAGTGAGACTGGCGCTGGGAAGCACGTCCCCCGTGCTGTGTTTGTTGACCTTGAGCCCACTGTCATCGATGAGGTGAGGACTGGCACCTACCGCCAGCTCTTCCACCCAGAGCAGCTCATCAGTGGCAAGGAGGATGCAGCCAACAACTTTGCCCGTGGTCACTACACCAGTAAGTAACTGATCTGATGTTCAGTTTACATTGCTCCTGGATATTCACTCTATAATGAACATCTTACTTAAACTTGATTTGTTTGTCTTGCAGTTGGCAAGGAGATTGTTGACCTGTGCCTTGATCGCATCAGGAAGCTTGCAGATAACTGCACTGGTCTCCAGGGCTTCCTCGTCTTCAACGCTGTTGGTGGAGGAACGGGATCTGGCCTTGGCTCCCTCCTCCTGGAGCGCCTGTCTGTTGATTACGGCAAGAAGTCCAAGCTCGGGTTCACTGTGTACCCATCCCCCCAGGTCTCTACCTCGGTGGTTGAACCATACAACAGTGTCCTGTCCACCCACTCCCTCCTCGAGCACACTGATGTCGCCGTACTGCTCGACAACGAGGCCATCTACGACATCTGCCGCCGCTCCCTTGACATTGAGCGCCCAACCTACACCAACCTCAACAGGCTTGTGTCCCAGGTACTGTCTTGGTCTGCCTTTGCATTCTGCCAGGTAAACGTTCTGAAATCTGGGCTTTTGTCTCTAACCATTAGCTGTTACTGATGTTGTGCAGGTCATCTCATCCCTGACTGCCTCCCTGAGATTCGATGGTGCTCTGAACGTTGATGTGAACGAGTTCCAGACCAACCTGGTGCCCTACCCGAGGATCCACTTCATGCTTTCTTCCTACGCTCCAGTGATCTCTGCGGAGAAGGCCTACCATGAGCAGCTGTCCGTGGCTGAAATCACCAACAGCGCCTTCGAGCCATCCTCCATGATGGCCAAGTGTGACCCCCGCCATGGCAAGTACATGGCCTGCTGCCTCATGTACCGTGGTGATGTTGTCCCCAAGGATGTGAACGCTGCTGTGGCCACCATCAAGACCAAGCGCACCATCCAGTTCGTGGACTGGTGCCCGACTGGCTTCAAGTGCGGCATCAACTACCAGCCTCCCAGCGTGGTGCCTGGTGGTGACCTGGCCAAGGTGCAGCGCGCCGTGTGCATGATCTCCAACTCCACCAGCGTTGTGGAGGTGTTCTCCCGCATCGACCACAAGTTTGACCTCATGTACGCCAAGCGTGCCTTCGTGCACTGGTACGTGGGTGAGGGTATGGAGGAGGGCGAGTTCTCTGAGGCCCGTGAGGACCTGGCTGCCTTGGAGAAGGACTACGAGGAGGTCGGTGCTGAGTTCGACGAGGGTGAGGATGGCGACGAGGGTGATGAGTACTAGAAGCTTTCTGGTACTGCAGCGTCGGGCCTGTTTGCTGCAATTATCCCGTGATCTGCCCTGAGTGGCTCGTTCTATCGTGTTGTGTGTCTGTCGGTTGCGAACTTATCTGTCATTGTGTGGTTTACAACACCTGATGTTGTAAGACTTGTGGCTAATTCCCCTGCTTTGTTACTGGGTTATTAAGAATCGTTATTGCCTGGTTCGTCTGTGTCATCAGCGTAGTCTAGTTGGATGATTGTCTTGCTGTCGTGTCGTCTTGTCATCATTGGTGTGTATTGTTTGATGCATCGAGCCTCTTGTAAGCGTACGTCGTCTTGGGCGTGCACACGAGTAGCAGACAGATTTCCAATCCTCCACCCTCCGTTTTAGGCTACTCCTGTTCTTGGTCGGCCGTTCTGGCAAGCAAAGGAAGCGGTGTCTCATCCTCGGGCTGCCACGCCACGCATATCGCTATGTTGGAGGCGCGGCCGAAACCCGTGCGTCCGGATAGAAGGGCCCGTGGAGTCGAGGTGGCCTGAACGTGCAG